AGGACACTGATTGGGAAATGATGTTTGCTCTCATGGTGAGGACATGGAGAGCCTGACACACTGCATTACAGACTATATTCTCTTCTGTGTGGATAACACTGTACCAACTAAGAAGGTGCGGTGTTTTTCTAACAACCACCCATGGGTGACCCCTGAGCTTAAAGCCCTCCTGAACCTCAAGAAAAGGGCTTTCATCTCAGGGGACAGGGAGGAGCAGAAGAGGATCCAGCACGAGCTCCAGTGGAGGATCAGGAGGGCCAAGAAGGACTATGGGAAAAAGCTGGAGCAGAAGCTGGCCCAGGGAAACGCCCGCGACGTGTGGAGAGGCCTAAAGAACATCTCCGGCTTTGGACAGAGTGCCAGAGGAACAGCAGATGGAGACCAGCACCGGGCGGATGAATTTAACCAGTACTTCAACCGGTTTGATTCTCCCCCCTCTCCATCTGCCCCCCCCTCCCGCCCCCACCTCTTCACACGTCCCCAGCCCAGTGGACACCGCCCAGTGGACACCGCCCAGTGGACACTGCCTCCGGCTGCCCCGGGCCCTCCTGCCCCCGCATCCCCAGCCCCCACCTCGGACAGTACACCCGGGTCCCCCCCTCCTCCAGCGCCTGAAGGTGAGGAAATCCGCAGGACCGGACAGGATCAGTCCCAGGCTGCTGAGGACCTGTGCAGACCAGCTCTCTGGGGTCCTCAGCCTCAGCCTGGAGAAGGTCCCTGTCCTGTGGAAGACCTCCTGTGTGATCCCGGTTCCAAAACAGCACACGCCAAGGAACCGGCTCACTACAGACCAGTCGCACTGACCTCCCACCTGATGAAGACCATGGAGCGGCTCATCCTCACCCATCTCCGCTCCGTGGCCTGCAGGGGGCGCTGTGAGGGTCATGTTTTTCGACTTCTCCAGCGCTTTCAATACCATCAGGCCGGCACTGCTGCAGGGGAAGATGGAGGACCAGGAGTGGACAGTAGCCTCACTGCATGGACCATCAACTACCTCTCAGACCGACCACAGTACGTGCGGCTGCAGCTGTGAGTCTGAGGTGGTCGTCTGCAGCACTGGGGCCCCTCAGGGCACAGTGTCTGAGGGGAACGAACTGGAATATCGGTCGGTTATCAAGGACTTTGTCGACTGGTGTGAGCGCAACCACTTGTGCTTGAACACCAGTAAGACCAAGGAGATGATCATCGACTTCAGGAGAAAACCACTTTCCCACACGCTGCTGAACATCCAGGGGGAGGACATTGAGCTGGTGGACAGCTTCAAGTACCTGGGTGTTCACATTAACAATAAACTGGACTGGTCCCATAATACAAACGCCCTGCACAAGAAGGGCCAAAGTCGCCTCTTCCTTCTGAGGAGACTGAGGTCCTTCTGAGGAGGCTGAGGACCTTCTGAGGAGGCTGAGGTCCTTCTGAGGAGGCTGAGGACCTTCTGAGGAGACTGAGGTCCTTCTGAGGAGGTTGAGGTCCTTCTGAGGAGGCTGAGGTCCTTCTGAGGAGGCTGAGGTCCTTCTGAGGAGGCTGAGGTCCTTCTGAGGAGGCTGAGGTCCTTCGGAGTGAGCAGGCCTCTGCTCAGGACTTTTTATGACTCTGTGGTAGATTCTGCCATTTACTACGCTGCCGTGTGCTGGGCCCCGGGCAGCACAGAGCGGGACAGAAACACACTGAACAAGCTGGTCAGGAGGAGGTGAGGGACAGGAGGCCCCTGGACTCTGTGGAGGAGGTGAGGGACAGGAGGCCCCGGGACTCTGTGGAGGAGGTGAGGGACAGGAGGCCCCTGGACTCTGTGGAGGAGGTGAGGGACAGGAGGCCCCTGGACTCTGTAGAGGAGCTGAGGAGCTCCTTCAGTGGAAGACTGAGACACCCTCAGTGTAGGAAGGAGCGCTACCGCAGGGCCTTTATCCCCACCGCTGTCAGACTGTACAATAAGTCACTTTAAATGATCACTGTGTGAAAACCTGCACTACTATTGACACTGTTTCCAATTGACACTTGTCACTTTTATTGTACATATATCCTGCATGTGACATGTTTGCACATTTCCTCCCTTTGCACAATCTGAGTGTCTCTATCCATGCCAAATGTGACATGTACATTTCTCCTCTGTGAGATAAATAAAGCTTATCTTATCTTATCATAGGGCCACATACTGGAACCGGTCATTCTAGAATTTATACAGTACAGACCAAAAGTTTGGACACACCTTCTCATTCAAAGAGTTTTGTTATGTTCATGATTATGAAAATGGCAGATTGACACTGAGGGCATCAAACCTATGATGAACTCATGTGAATTATGTCCGTACTAAAAAAGTATGAACCAAGTGTAAATATGTGTTTTATTCTGGTTCTTCAACGTAGCTCCTTTTGCTCTGATACTGCTTCACTCTTGGCATTCTCTGGATGAGCTTCAACAGGACCTGAAATGTCATGGTCATGAAAAAACTCAGTGACGGACAGAGGGTGTCCACACTTTTGCTCTGTACTGTATGTTTATATAATATGTCCGTGACACGATACAAAACAAAGTGAACATACAGGTTTTTGTGCAGGTGCTCAGTCTGACAGCGAGAGGCCGAGACAGGCCCGGGGCGTGCAGGTGTCAGAGTTGTGCGTCTGGATCCAGGTGCAGGTCTTCTCCTTTACGCACCGTGGGGCATCGCACATTCACTACGGACTCTCTGTTTCACACACGGGACCTCCAGCTGCTTTCTAAAGATGATTGAAACCTGGAAACTTCTCCACCGGGCGACGAGCAAACACCCAACAACTGATGACACACATTTGTTACTGGACATAATAATGCTAACTGTTTTGGTTACATTAGATTAGAAGTCAAAAGGATGCTATGGCAGGTTTGAAAACAAATAACTACTCAGTATGAAGTTGTAGGCAGTTTCCATGACAACCAAGGCACGATGGTTCTTGCTTCACAGCAATGTACAATAGTCCCAGTAACCCCCTCCCAGACCCCACCTCCTCTCTCTTGGGTCAGAGGGCCCTGAAAAAGATTTTGAAATCTCAGTGGGACATTCCTTGTAAAAAAGTGTAAAAGTGTATATAACTTACATTATTTACAATGTATCTGCCTATATTTTGTTCAGTTCCTTGTTAAGTAATACCAGAATCTTACTATTAAAAAGTGTGTTTATGTTAATGTTATTTAAAGATCTTTTACGCTGAACTCTTCACATAGACACTGATGAGCAGAGTTTGGTGTTGCTTGTTTTCTGGCACTAATGCAAACTCACACCTGAGAATGTGTCTGCGCTGCCTTCAAGTGCATTCAGATGCTTTCATGTTTGCATTCACGTCTGTTAGCATCGACGCACACATCACACACTGGTCATGATGAAACCTAACACAGTATGAACGCACACACATGAACCTGCACAACGTCAAGACCTTACCTCAAAAATCACCTCAAAGAGAATAAGACCAAACTAAATGTCACGTTCCAAGTCCAGGAAGCCCTTTCCCAACGTTGTCCAAGATGGAATCTGAGATGAACGAGCTTCATCCAAGACGATCAATCTGTCCTCTCAGCGACGCCAGGAGAGGTCCCGATCCCCCTCACGCTCCACACTTCCTGTTATGGTCATGCTATAATCAGCTGTAGTGTTTCACTTGGAGGCTCCTGCAGGTGTCGCGGCTTCTCCCATCACTTTCTCACTTCTCTGTCAATACAAAGAGGATTTCAACTGCATCAAGGGAAGAAAGAGCCTTATCAACTCTGTAGATCAGTATTTACACGGACACAGTTTAAACGGCCTGAACGTCCATTTTCAGTTGTTCAAATGGCTCTGAACAAAGCCACGCAGTTGACTCTCACTGAGGCTGAAGAAGACACTTTTCACTTGTTTGGATCAGCTGCAATTATAGATACAGTAGATACTTTATTGATCCCCACAGGAGAACTTCAGGTGTCCAGTCGCAGCAATAACATTGATTATTTTAAAAAGCTAATAATAGTATTAATCAGTAACAGTCGTTCAGGTCACAGCAGCAGAGGAGGAGCTTGGTTCAGTCCATTTTCTCTGCTCTGGTCCAAAGAAAAATGCTGAATGCTTCAATTGCATTTTTCATGAAGCATTCCTCCAGTGGATTTTCACCTGATCCACGTGGTTTGGACCATGAATCCTCTCTGCTCTGGTCTGGACCAGTGTAAAACCATGAATCCTCTCTGCTCTGGTCTGGACCAGTGTAAAACCATGAATCCTCTGCTCTGGTCTGGACCAGTGTAAAACCATGAATCCTCTGCTCTGGTCTGGACCAGTGTAAAACCATGAATCCTCTCTGCTGGATTCGTCTGCATATCTGGCAACCTGAGTCAGGGAGAGTGGGAGAGGCTGCAGTACCACTTTTGGCCACACGTTTACAGACTGCTCCTTTAAGTAAAGAGATTGACATGTAACTGTTTTTATAATCTGTAATTGTATGTAATTCTTTGCAACTGTTTCTGCCTTTTGTCCAGGACTCCGTTGAAAAAGAGGTTCTTAATCTCAGTGGGACGTTGAATAAAGGTAATAATAAAAACAATATATACAAAAAGGGAAATCTGTTAGCGACCTCAGCTGTCATAAAGCATGCCTCCAAAACAAACTAGGACCAAATGATGAAGGACTCTCCGTAGTCTGGTTAGAGTTAGACATGCGGAAATGCTTTGCTTCTGCCTGGTCACGCCTGGACCTTCTGACTGCCTGAGGTGCCCGTGCTAAATATGCACGACCAATCCACTCCTGAGGAAGCACATGTGTGTACGTGCGCACGGCTGACGTGTGTAACCGGCTTTGATGCTAAAACAAATCATAATGTCAGGTCCAGACAGAACGGTTAAATTGATCCGGTGCAAAGCAAGTCCATAGCAGACAATCATTCCTCCCCGGACCTTCAACTTCGTGAAAACTGGTAATAAAAAGAAGAAAAGTTGTGCTTCCAGTGATTAATTGGATTTTTATGCGTTTTCGTTCCGACATTGCTGTACATCATTTGCCTGTGGAAATGTACCCCCCTAAAGCTTCCCCAAAAACCACAGAACAAGTAATCCTATTTGAACTCAAAACTATTGGTTTTTTTAGGGATAAACTAAAGCCCTGAATGCTTCATTAAAGCTGGGGTACGTAGCTTTTCATAAATAATCCATGCTGTTTGTTTCAACAGAAAGAGTTGTCTTAGAAGAGTACAATGTTGTGACCAAATCGGACAATATAAAACATGTTAAAGGAGCAGTTTGTAAAAATGTGTCCAAAAGTGGTACTGCAGCCTCTCCCACTCTCCCTGACTCAGGTTGCCAGATATGCAGACGAATCCAGCTGGGACCATAACAGCTGAATAGACAAGAGTTTTGTCAACAACAAATCTATAACCAACACCTTTTTCACAAAGATAGAAATCCTGCTTTTATTCCTTGTTTTGTTGTTAATGATTTGAGAATCATAACGAGACCTTTTTTAGTTCTGCGCCACATGGTACTTTACCAGTGAGATTAGCTCCACGCGGTGAGTTCTGGCGCCCGGATCACAGACTTTCTGATTGGTGAAACGGTGGAGGGCGGGACATCAAAATGAAAACAATAACAAGATTTAGGGGCTTTAAAGGTTATTTAGAAATTAAAATATCTCTGAACTACTGTTATCAGTTAAACAAGTATTGGAAAAGAGCAGTTTATTATTATGACAGATTAGGGCCCTTTAATGATGACAGATTAGGGCCCTTTAATGATGACAGATTAGGGCCCTTTAATGATGACAGATTAGGGCCCTTTAATAATGACAGATTAGGGCCCTTTAATGATGACAGATTAGAGCCCTTTAATGATGACAGATTAGGGCCCTTTAATGATGACAGATTAGGGCCCTTTAATGATGACAGATTAGAGCCCTTTAATGATGACAGATTAGGGCCCTTTAATGATGACAGATTAGGGCCCTTTAATAATGACAGATTAGGGCCCTTTAATGATGACCGATTAGGGCCCTTTAATGATGATAGATTAGGACCCTTTGTGCTGAATATTTTTGTTGTTTGAATGTGAGTAACTACAGCTTTAAGATTGGATTTTGAAGAAATGTTGTTAGAGATTTTTGCCTTTCCACAGTTTTTTTGCAGTGTTCCATCAGTTTATATATTTATTATAGAGTATTTCCAGCCACACAATTTTTTTCCCTTGAGTGTGGTTCAGTGAGTTCTGTTTGTGCGTTCATGTCCTTGGGATCTGTCTCTGTAAAATGTTGTATATATATTTAACCAAAATCCACGATTGCCACGCCCATATGACGTCATGATATGCAAATTAGATGAGTACATTTAATTCCTACATAAACTTTAGTCCATCCTTATCATTTATCTAACCTACATGAAGCCTGTATCTCTTTTCACTTTTACGTTATTAAGAAAAATATGTCAAAATGTAGCCTCTTGGCACCTAAAGGGTTAATGGCCTCATCTGCTTGTCTCCATGGCGATAGATACCCAATGCAACATCCAATCTGCAGAGACTCTCAAAAACAAGAAAAGACTCTAGGCTCTGATTCATCTGCAAATGTATTTCCAAAACTACTTCCAATAGTGTTTAAAACGTCCTGACTCTTTCTGGCTGCTGCCTCACACTGGGGGGGCCGATCATACCTTTCCACTGGGGGGGCCGATCATACCTTTCCACTGGGGGGGCCGATCATACCTTTCCACTGGGGGGGCCGATCATACCTTTCCACTGGGGGGGCCGATCATACCTTTTCACTGGGGGGGCCGATCATACCTTTCCACTGGGGGGGCCGATCATACCTTTCCACTGGGGGGGCCGATCATACCTTTCCACTGGGGGGGCCGATCATACCTTTCCACTGGGGGGGCCGATCATACCTTTCCACTGGGGGGGCCGATCATACCTTTCCACTGGGGGGGCCCGATCATACCTTTCCACTGGGGGGGCCGATCATACCTTTCACTGGGGGGGCCGATCATACCTTTCACTGGGGGGGCCGATCATACCTTTCCACTGGGGGGGCCGATCATACCTTTCCACTGGGGGGGCGATCATACCTTTTCACTGGGGGGGCCGATCATACCTTTCCACTGGGGGGGCCGATCATACCTTTCCACTGGGGGGGCCGATCATACCTTTCCACTGGGGGGCCCGATCATACCTTTCCACTGGGGGGGCGATCATACCTTTCCACTGGGGGGGCCGATCATACCTTTTCACTGGGGGGGCGATCATACCTTTTCACTGGGGGGGCCGATCATACCTTTCCACTGGGGGGCCGATCATACCTTTCCACTGGGGGGGCCGATCATACCTTTCCACTGGGGGGGCCGATCATACCTTTCCACTGGGGGGGCCGATCATATATACCTTTTCACTGGGGGGGCCGATCATACCTTTTCACTGGGGGGCCGATCATACCTTTCACTGGGGGGGCCGATCATACCTTTCACTGGGGGGCCGATCATACCTTTTCACTGGGGGGGCCGATCATACCTTTCCACTGGGGGGGCCGATCATACCTTTTCACTGGGGGGGCCGATCATACCTTTCCACTGGGGGGGCCGATCATACCTTTTCACTGGGGGGCCCGATCATACCTTTCCACTGGGGGGGCCGATCATACCTTTCCACTGGGGGGGCCGATCATACCTTTCCACTGGGGGGGCCGATCATACCTTTTCACTGGGGGGGCCGATCATACCTTTCACTGGGGGGGCCGATCATACCTTTCCACTGGGGGGGCCGATCATACCTTTCCACTGGGGGGGCCGATCATACCTTTCCACTGGGGGGGCCGATCATACCTTTCCACTGGGGGGGCCGATCATACCTTTCCACTGGGGGGGCCGATCATACCTTTCCACTGGGGGGGCCGATCATACCTTTCCACTGGGGGGGCCGATCATACCTTTCCACTGGGGGGGCCGATCATACCTTTCCACTGGGGGGGCCGATCATACCTTTCCACTGGGGGGGCCGATCATACCTTTCCACTGGGGGGCCGATCATACCTTTCCACTGGGGGGGCCGATCATACCTTTCCACTGGGGGGGCCGATCATACCTTTCCACTGGGGGGGCCGATCATACCTTTCACTGGGGGGGCCGATCATACCTTTCCACTGGGGGGGCCGATCATACCTTTCCACTGGGGGGCCGATCATACCTTTCCACTGGGGGGGCCGATCATACCTTTCCACTGGGGGGGCCGATCATACCTTTCCACTGGGGGGGCCGATCATACCTTTCCACTGGGGGGGCCGATCATACCTTTCCACTGGGGGGCCGATCATACCTTTCCACTGGGGGGGCCGATCATACCTTTCCACTGGGGGGGCCGATCATACCTTTCCACTGGGGGGGCCGATCATACCTTTCCACTGGGGGGGCCGATCATACCTTTTCACTGGGGGGGCCGATCATACCTTTCCACTGGGGGGGCCGATCATACCTTTCCACTGGGGGGCCGATCATACCTTTCCACTGGGGGGGCCGATCATACCTTTCCACTGGGGGGCCGATCATACCTTTCCACTGGGGGGGCGATCATACCTTTCCACTGGGGGGCCGATCATACCTTTCCACTGGGGGGGCCGATCATACCTTTCCACTGGGGGGGCCGATCATACCTTTCCACTGGGGGGGCCGATCATACCTTTCCACTGGGGGGGCCGATCATACCTTTCCACTGGGGGGCCGATCATACCTTTCCACTGGGGGGGCCGATCATACCTTTCCACTGGGGGGGCCGATCATACCTTTCCACTGGGGGGGCCGATCATACCTTTCCACTGGGGGGGCCGATCATACCTTTCCACTGGGGGGGCCGATCATACCTTTCCACTGGGGGGGCCGATCATACCTTTTCCACTGGGGGGGCCGATCATACCTTTCCACTGGGGGGGCCGATCATACCTTTCCACTGGGGGGGCCGATCATACCTTTCCACTGGGGGGGCCGATCATACCTTTCCACTGGGGGGCCGATCATACCTTTCCACTGGGGGGGCCGATCATACCTTTCCACTGGGGGGGCCGATCATACCTTTCCACTGGGGGGGCCGATCATACCTTTTCACTGGGGGGCCGATCATACCTTTCACTGGGGGGGCCGATCATACCTTTCCACTGGGGGGGCCGATCATACCTTTCACTGGGGGGGCCGATCATACCTTTCCACTGGGGGGGCCCGATCATACCTTTCCACTGGGGGGGCCGATCATACCTTTCCACTGGGGGGCCCGATCATACCTTTCCACTGGGGGGGCCGATCATACCTTTCCACTGGGGGGGCCGATCATACCTTTTCACTGGGGGGGCCGATCATACCTTTCCACTGGGGGGGCCGATCATACCTTTTCACTGGGGGGGCCGATCATACCTTTCCACTGGGGGGCCCGATCATACCTTTCCACTGGGGGGGCCGATCATACCTTTCCACTGGGGGGGCCGATCATACCTTTCCACTGGGGGGCCGATCATACCTTTCCACTGGGGGGGCCGATCATACCTTTTCACTGGGGGGGCCGATCATACCTTTCCACTGGGGGGGCCGATCATACCTTTCCACTGGGGGGGCCGATCATACCTTTTCACTGGGGGGGCCGATCATACCCTTTCCACTGGGGGGGCCGATCATACCTTTTCACTGGGGGGGCCGATCATACCTTTCCACTGGGGGGGCCGATCATACCTTTCCACTGGGGGGGGCGATCATACCTTTCCACTGGGGGGCCGATCATACCTTTCACTGGGGGGGCCGATCATACCTTTTCACTGGGGGGGCCGATCATACCTTTCCACTGGGGGGGCCGATCATACCTTTTCACTGGGGGGGCCGATCATACCTTTCCACTGGGGGGGCCGATCATACCTTTTCACTGGGGGGCCGATCATACCTTTTCACTGGGGGGGCCGATCATACCTTTTCACTGGGGGGCCGATCATACCTTTCCACTGGGGGGGCCGATCATACCTTTCCACTGGGGGGCCCGATCATACCTTTCCACTGGGGGGGCGATCATACCTTTCCACTGGGGGGGCCGATCATACCTTTTCACTGGGGGGGCCGATCATACCTTTCCACTGGGGGGGCCGATCATACCTTTTCACTGGGGGGGCCGATCATACCTTTCCACTGGGGGGGCCGATCATACCTTTCCACTGGGGGGGCCGATCATACCTTTCCACTGGGGGGGCCGATCATACCTTTTCACTGGGGGGGCCGATCATACCTTTTCACTGGGGGGGCCGATCATACCTTTCCACTGGGGGGCCCGATCATACCTTTCCACTGGGGGGGCCGATCATACCTTTCCACTGGGGGGGCCGATCATACCTTTCCACTGGGGGGGCCGATCATACCTTTCCACTGGGGGGGCCGATCATACCTTTCCACTGGGGGGCCGATCATACCTTTCCACTGGGGGGGCCGATCATACCTTTCCACTGGGGGGGCCGATCATACCTTTCCACTGGGGGGGCCGATCATACCTTTTCACTGGGGGGCCGATCATACCTTTTCACTGGGGGGGCCGATCATACCTTTTCACTGGGGGGGCCGATCATACCTTTCCACTGGGGGGGCCGATCATACCTTTCCACTGGGGGGGCCGATCATACCTTTCCACTGGGGGGCCGATCATACCTTTCCACTGGGGGGGCCGATCATACCTTTTCACTGGGGGGCCCGATCATACCTTTCCACTGGGGGGGCCGATCATACCTTTCCACTGGGGGGGCCGATCATACCTTTTCACTGGGGGGGCCGATCATACCTTTCCACTGGGGGGGCCGATCATACCTTTTCACTGGGGGGGCCGATCATACCTTTCCACTGGGGGGCCCGATCATACCTTTCCACTGGGGGGGCCGATCATACCTTTCCACTGGGGGGGCCGATCATACCTTTTCACTGGGGGGGCCGATCATACCTTTTCACTGGGGGGCCGATCATACATTGCACATTGGGGTCCCTCTCTCTGTGGTTCAGAACCGGCCAGACTCCTCACAAGCCAACATCTGCTGGACAGTTCAAACAACATCTATGTCCTGCCTCTTTTGCACCTTCTGATCATGTCGTTGAACACTCCTGAGCTACTGTCAGAATGTACAATAAGGACCTCTTGAGTCACTTTGCTTTAGTGCAATAATAACTTTAATAATGTCAGAATGTGCGATATAGAGCCACATACTGTCACTGAGATACTGAGTCCCAGACCTTGTACAGATGTAAACACACAGCTGTATAGTATTGCACTACATTTACAGCACACAGCACAAGATAAGGAAAAAGTCTGAAAATGTTTATGCTAAAGACAGACATTTTATACTTGCTGCTTATTTTTAAGTCAGAGATATATCTTAATTTAGTATAGAGTTATCTCAGACCAGAGTCACAAAGCAGTTTATAATTGTTGGCATTAGTCTCCCCCTCCACACAGAGATGGGAGCGAGACTGGGCCGGTGTGAGTGGGATGAATAAAGAATCTCTAATCTCTGAGAATTTTAGACTGATTTTTTAGAAAACTGAGAATTCCTGCGGTGCCACATCCATCATTCTGTGTATGATCTGCAGAGAAAGCCGGGGTCATGTGTTGCTGCTCTGAGTTGGCTTCAGCAGAGAGTGTGACCTGCAGTGATTATCCCATTAGCATCAGCTCAGAGCCAGAGGAAGCCGGGGTCAGAGGCAACGAGGAGAGCCACACCGGAGAGCAGGACAAAGAAACTACAACCAGAAAGAGATTTTACGTTCAAAAAATTGTAGCAAAAGATGGTTTTCGGTAACTCTTAAAAAACCTGTTATTATTACGCACATCTTTATCATAGAATAAGTTTAAATGAAAACTTTTTTATATATAGTTTTCTTGGATTTTTATGTATTTTCTCTCATCTCATCTAATCCTCAAAATAAAGAAATAATTAATAATAATTTTTACTGGGAATGAACGAATGAACGATAAACATGAACTTTGTGCAGGTTTTAGCAGCATTGCTAATCTACACCTGTAGTCCCTGAGGCTGAGCTCTCTTGCTTCCTGGATTCGATGCACACTCCACTGCCTTCTGAGTGGAGTTTGCATGTTCTCCCTGTGTCTGCGTAGGTGTCCTCCAAGTGCTCCGGTTTCCTCTTCACAACTAAAAACATGTACAATAGGTGAAAGTGTTCCAGCTCTGGTAGTCCTGACTCCTGACCAGCGAGGGCGGGTCCTGGCTCAAAAGTGGCCAAAATGCAATACCACCCCAGGCCTGTGGGGGTGGACCCGGAATAAGAATTAGCCAATGCTAACATATAGCATCTTTTTACCTCTGGAAAACTTCTTTACAGGATGGTCCAAAAGTTGTCTCTTGGCCCAAAGCTCCGTTCCACATGTGTGTCAATGCTGAGTGTTCTGGACCAGTCTAGTTTAGTCGCTGAGGACTTTAGAAGTCTCTCGTTTAAATGAATGGGGACATGAATGAACATTTTCCAGCCCCCGCGGCCATTTTGAATCACTCCATGAAAGCCCAATTTTTGGCCCATTAGTTAGAACGGCGGAAATAGGCGTCACTACGTCCGTTAATATTTACAGTCTGCTCCTGACCAAGCCAAGTATTGAGATCTGGAGATGGGCTCCTTAACTTTAGCCTTAATAATAATCCATAAACCCTATGTAACCTAAAATATACACTCACATACCAGTGTGACATAATTATGAAGTCCTGAATGTAAAACACAGGGATTTATGAATATTTTACATTCTCTGACTTTTATCTGTAACATCTTTTTGATTTGGGGGCGACAGTGGCTCAGTTGGAAGAGCATTGGCCTTTGAGACTGCTGAAGGTCATGGGTTCGAGCCCACCATGACACCTTCTCAACCAACTCACACTGATGTCTGCTGTCGTTGTGTCCTTGGGCAAGACACTTAACCCCACTTTGCCCTAAAGCCCCTGCTGAAAGATCAAGGCTCCTGGACTCAGCACCTGCAGGAGGATCAGTGAGGGGCTGGTGCTCTGACTGCCACCCCCGACCCAGACATGGATTAAGGGGAAGAAAATGGAGGGATGGATCTTTTTGATTTAAACGTCTGTAAATAGATGATCATAAGACCGTGGAGCGAACAGAATCAAGAGCACCATTAATTTGTACTTTTTTGGGTTATTAAAGTTTTATCGCACTGAGTATGATTGTGTTTCCACTAAAAGCATCCATCACAGCGTCCAGAATGGTTGAGTTAAAGTCAGAAATTAAGATTTGTTTTAATTCGAAATGAGAATTTTCCTTGCATAATTTCAAACATGAGAAAGCGTTGTTACTTTTTGATAATTCACATTCTTTTGGACAGACTCTGCAGGATCCAGAGCACCACTACAGTCCTCCTCTGTGCACTTCTGAATCTCTTCCGTCTTTTCTGCCTTTGAGCTGCAGCGGAGGCCCTGCCAAGCCGTTCGCCGTTCGCCGTTCGCCGCTCCAACCCTCCGCTTTGAACCGCCCCAAATAATAGACCTCTCCAAAACACTTCATTATAACATGCTAATTCACATTATGATTGATTAAAGCAAGCTGCTGCTCTCCTCTGGCCCACACTCGCCCTGAGCACCCACAGAGGGGTCATAACGAAGGGCTTATGCAAAAACTGCCCCTTCACACCCCGCCTTCTTTCTCTCGGGCTTTTTTCTTGCTCTTCTATCTCCACCAACTTCCATCCCTCACTCCCCTGTCCCGTGCATTCATGGAATCTTTTCACAAGCTCTCTATTGAAGCGGAGGGAAAGGGGCTTTAGAGGCAGCAGCTGTGGCGCCCCTTTCTCCCAGGCAGGTATAGAGTTGGCTGGGGGCGCTCTGCATGACTGAGCCCCTCTCTGTGGCACTGTGTGGACTTCGCCATTCAGCCCTGCCGTACTTTGTCAGAGGGAAAGACTGAGGAAAGGGATAAAAAGGCAGGTTCGGATTGGGTCTTTTTGTCTCTTTGTCTCACATGCCCCCCTCCTCAAAAACAAAATAAAAAAAAGAAAGCTTGGTCTAATGAGCGCTGGTTAAATGCAAAAGGTTTGATTAATGCGGGTTCATTCTGGTCCTTGATGCGGGTTCATTCTGGTCCTTGATGGAATGTCAGCCTGGTGCTCATTACTCGGTGGATTTGTGTTTTTAAGAGCGGTGTTGCACAAACTTTGAAATGACGAAGGTTCCTGTTCCTGAATTTAAATGACGAACTATTGTGTGGTTTTCAACTGGAGAAGAAAGACAAGTTTTCCCTTTCCCATCATGCAAGGATTGGTACACACACACAGACACACACATACACAAACACACAGACACACACAGGCACACACACACACATACACACTCACACACACATACACACAGACATACACATATACATATACACACACACACACACTCACAGCCTCACACACACACACAGACATACACATATACATATACACACACACACACACTCACAGCCACACACACACACACAGACACACACACACGCGCATACATACACACACATGCGCACACACCAACACGCACACACACACACACACACACACATACACGTTTTTGTTACCTGGTGGGTCCCTTTGACAGGGCCGTTCAGAATGGGACCCATAGACATAATCTTTTTTTACCAAGACTTTAAGTAATACAAAACAGTCAATAGAAACCAAACAACTATTTTAAAGGAATTTTATTTTAGATTTTTTTTTCGAATTGCAGTGATTCTATTTTTGACATAGAATTTAATGCCACTCCATGTCCGATGTCTAAGGTCATCTGGTGAGGCATTAATGCAGGCCAGGCAGTGAGACTTCCCAGGGACCTTTCCAGTCTGTATGAAAGGTGTCATGGTCTTCTCCACAGCCTTCACCTCAGATGCAGACCATGGCTTTCTTACACGTTCTAGGGAGAGAAATAAAAATATATTAGCAATATACACTCCCAGGGTTAGGACCAAGCAGCCTGGCTGTAATCCCCCACCTGGTACACTTACCAGAAGGGGCACTGCCACTACCATGGGGTGCATCTGGATGAATGGTTGAAGGTTCTCCGCTTGAAGTTTCTTTTAGCCCGTCCGTTTGTGAGAGGATCTCTACTGCTCTGGGCTACTGGGCGGCACGGTGGTTGAGTGGTTAGCACTCTCGCCTCTCAGCAAGAAGGTCCTGGGTTCGAATCCCGGTCGGACCAGGGCCTTTCTGAGTGGAGTTTGCATGTTCTCTCCGTGTCTGCGTAGGTTTCCTCCGGGTGCTCCGGTTTCCCCTACCACTAAAAATATGTCCAATAGTTCTGGCATGTGCCTCCTGTACTGGCCCCGCTCCCATCTCTGTGTGGAGTGAGAGACAAATGCCCAAAAAAAATTGTAAACCGCTTTGAGACTCAGATCTGCAGTGAAAAGGCGGTATATAAATAAAAACTTACTTACTTACTCTCCCTGTCGCACAGAAAATAAAAATACAAGTGGCCTTTAGGGGAAAAAAATCATACATATTTTAATAATATCAAGAATTACCTTCAGGCTCAATTTGTATCTGGTCGAGGCTCTTTCCTTCGAATTCCGTCACTCTTCCCTGCTCCATGGCCATCAACACTTTGCTGATTTTGGCCAGCTCCAGTGTCCCCTCTGGTAGTCTGTAATATTGCCTGTGGATGCGAATGTCATGGCCGAGGAAGTTGGCAAGTATGTCCATCTCATTCTCTTTCATATTGAGAACTGTAGACATAGTAGCTATGTGCTTTCTAAGTTTGGTTGAGGATAGCATCTCTGGATGCACCGCACCACATTCTTTGGCTACCTGGCGTAGGGAGTCTGATCCCCTGATGTGGGTGTCTGCGCCCGGGCGGGAAAAGAAGTATGGGTTATGGTCAGAGATGGAACAGGCCCTTCTGTTCTCCACCAGCACCTCCATCGAAGCAATCATTTCAGGAGTCAAAAGAACCGGCACTTTCCGACTTCTTTTCCCTTTAATTTCAATGCGTTGAAAATGCTGACACAGCTTTTTCTCAAGTTGGGACAGTCCCAGAGCAATGTCAGAATGGATCCCAGTCTTACTTCTTAAGGTAAAGGCTGTCAGTGGCATCTTTGAAACCTCACCTTCCCTTCTTCGATTGAAAATAATGACCTCACAAAGAGTCAAAACTGCCAGTTTAGACCAATGCTTAGACGTTGGCTCACTTATTAGGGTTTGCACATATTCAGGTCGACATACCTCAATATGTGCATGCATGGCTCTAACGTCCTCAGTCAGAGGGAGCAGGTCCGGAGTGTTCCACTTGGCTTGCCGGAGGGTCTGTAGGGCAGCAGAAGAAACACAGACGTCCCACCTCTTCTCAAAAAGCAGCCGGCTTCGTTGGAGGTTTTTAATAAATAGTTCATCAACACAATGCTCCATTTTTGAGTCACATTCAAGAATATCTGCTAGCTTTCTGAGGCTATGGCCGAGTTTGAGGGCCAAGGATGGAGTCTTGTATTGATTTGTTTCCTCATCATATCCAGCCACAGACCTGACTGCATCAATCACATGGTTAAAGTTGGAAGGAATAAAGAAATCCTTAATTGTTTTCAGTTTCCCTGCGGTTTTTGCTTCGTTAATTAACCTACCGACTTCTCTCATTTTCTGCCTAATGTAATCATGCTTTGTCTTATCATGCCCGTGTTTTAAGTACAGGTGCTCTCCGAGTCTCAGAATCCCCTTTTCTGCTTTGACAACACCCGTGACCTCATCCTGATGCATTGCCCAAATTAAAGACCACAGCTTTTTGCTGATGCCCTCCGGTACAGGCTGGGCTAGGGAGCAGAGGGACTGGACCCTACTTCTACCTGGTTTAGCCTGGGCATCTTTCTGTGAAAGCCGGCACCTGGCCACATGCCTCCACAGCGACTTTCGCTTAAGCAATGCCCCACAGTCTATACAGTGCAAAAACTCACTGGATTTAACTGGGCAATTTGGCTGTTTAGCTGGGACTAAAGTTCCAATGCCAGCCTTTAAAACCTCAAAATTGTGCTCACGGTTTCCACTATTCCTGATCAAATCAAAGTGAAGTTTACGTGCTTTAGATTTCACAGGTAGAGCCAATGCTCTGGCTACGTCACTTTCATTTCCATGTTTTCTAGTCAAATGACGGGACATTTTGTGGCAGGACATTGAACAGTAGAGGCAGAAGTGTCTCTTGCTGTAAACTCGCCCCCCATTTTTCTTCTTTTGCAGCTGCATGATAACAATCTTATTTGCCTTTGGTTCGTCACTTTCCGAGTCTTGAAGAAAAGTGTTTTTGATTTTTCTTTTTCCATACTTTTTTACAGGTTTCTTCTTGACAGTTAAATCGTCAGAATCTGAGTCGACTTCATCAATTAGGGACTCTTGACTAAGCTGCACAAACAACAAATAATTTGTAATCATTCTATATAACAATTTGAAGTCATGACTTGTAGTCAGCACTTACCAGTGGTTTGTAAGCGTGCGCTTCAGTGTGCTCCTCCATGATTTCTTGCAGCCTAATGAACCACACACTTGCACCTTTTTCTAGCCTGACACCTGATTTCCTCTGTTGTGCTGCTCCATGATTGGCTCCAGCCTGCTGGACTGAAATTGCCCCAGTGTGCCCCTCCTTGATATCCCGCAACCCACCACCAGGGTTCCGACACATAACACACTTTTTTCAGGAAAGTAAACCTCCAGGGGTCCTTTCCATATTTTTACAGAGACTGCATAAGGACCGTTAGAAAAGCATTACCCATTGATTATTAAGCTTGGACCAGTGGGGTCCGGTGTTCGGGCCCCACCACGTAAAACCAGTCCCCATGACGTGAGTGGAATCTCAGGTTATGGAACCCACCAGGAGTTGAAAACAAGTGCACACACACACATGTACACACACACACATGTACACACACACACATGTACACACAAACACACACATGTACACACACACACACACACACACACACACAACACACACACACACACACACACACACCCACACCACACACAACACACACACACAACACAACACACACACACACACACACACACCCACACACACAACACACACACACACACACAACACACACCACACACACACACACACACAGGGAGCTTCATGAGGGAGGGGGTAATGCAAGGGGAGAACGTGGTAAGAGGGGGTGGCCGGTAATGGGGGAGAGTGGGGGCCGGGGGGGGGCCCCCTAAACGAGACTGAGGAGGGCGCGGCGGACGGGGGGGGTGCCCAACGCTGGAGGGTCTTCAAGTAGTGGGCCCGGGGGCCAGGCCGGGGGCCTGCCGGGCGGCGGGGCGGGTGGGTCCCGCGTTCCAGCGACAAGTGCGGATCTGTGCCCACAGGGGGGGGGCCCTGGCACCACGGCGGTGGCATGTGGCACGCGGTGGGCCGGTGGGGACGTAGGTGCTGGGGGGCAACAGCAGGGGGGGGGCGTGCGGCGGGTACCCCGGCGGCGCAGGGAGCCCTGCCGGGTGAGGCTCGGGGTCGCCGTCGGGGGGGACGGGGGGGCGGGGGGCGCTGCGTGCCCGGGCTTGTCGTTGCGGAGAGCCGGGCAGACGGGTTGCTGGGGGGGGCAGGAGCATGCGTCGGGGATTAACCGTGGTGGGGCAGCGCGGTCGCGGGCCGTGTCGCGGCCGGGTTCGGCGCGGGGATGAGGGCGCTTCGCGTTGCTAGGGGGAGTGCAAGGGGGGTGAGGGGGACCCTGGGGCGCGCGGGGCGGGGGGGGGGTCCCCGGGAGCGAGCGGGGGGGCGGCCCGCGGGGAGACGGTGGCGTCGGGGGGCGGGGGCGGGGGGGCGCGGGAGCCGGCGGAGCCCGGCGGGGAGGGCCGGTGGCGGCGGGGATGGGGCACTCAGTGGGGGCGCGGCGAGGTCGGGCCCGGGGGGGGGCGCGGGGGGTCGGCCGGCGCGCAAGAGGCGAGGCCACGCGGGGGTGGCGGGGGGAGGACGCCACCTCGGGGCGGGGGGCGGGCGGCGCGGCGGGTGCGGGGTTGAAACGGGAACGCGGCGTCGAGGGCCATGCACCGGGAGCGGCGCCGGCCGCTGCCCGCCCCGGGGGTGGGCCGGCTGGGGCCGACGGCGGGCATCCGGGTAGCGGCGGGGTCGGGGTGCCACGGCCCGCGGGTGTGACAACCCCCCCCCCCCCCCCCCCCCAGGCTAGCCCAGTGGCCTAGCCGGGGGGGGGGGCAAGCCACCACGGCGGCGGGACCACCCGGGGAGTGCACGGGCAGGGAGCGCCCGGACGATAGGGGGGGCGGAGGGGAGAGCGGGACAGGTGGCGACAGGGGGAACGGGGGGAAGGGCGGGTGGGGTGGCCACGGGACCGCCGGAACGGGGGGAACGGGCGCAGGGGGGGGCGGAGCCCAGGCCCGGCGTGGGGCGGCGCGGCCCGTCGGGACGGCGGGGGATGCATGCGAGGAGCAGCCGCCTGCCACCCCCCCTTGGGGGCCCCGGTGCGACCTTGGGTTGTGCGTCCCGCCGCGGGGGGGTGGTGGGTTCACGGTGGGCCATGCGCCCGGGCGGGGGGCCGATCATACCTTTCCACTGGGGGGGCCGATCATACCTTTCCACTGGGGGGGCCGATCATACCTTTCCACTGGGGGGCCCGATCATACCTTTCCACTGGGGGGGCCGATCATACCTTTCCACTGGGGGGCCGATCATACCTTTCCACTGGGGGGGCCGATCATACCTTTCCACTGGGGGGCCGATCCTTTCCACTGGGGGGCCGATCATACCTTTTCACTGGGGGGGCGATCATACCTTTTCACTGGGGGGGCCGATCATACCTTTTCACTGGGGGGCCCGATCATGGGGGCCGACATACCTTTCCACTGGGGGGGCCGATCATACCTTTCCACTGGGGGGCCGATCATGGGGGGGCCGATCATACCTTTTCCACTGGGGGGGCCGATCATACCTTTCCACTGGGGGGGCCGATCATACCTTTCACTGGGGGGGGGCCGATCATACCTTTCCACTGGGGGGGCCGATCATACCTTTCCACTGGGGGGGCCGATCATACCTTTCCACTGGGGGGGCCGATCATACCTTTTCACTGGGGGGCCGATCATACCTTTCCACTGGGGGGGCCGATCATACCTTTCCACTGGGGGGGCCGATCATACCTTTCCACTGGGGGGGCCGATCATACCTTTCACTGGGGGGGCCGATCATACCTTTCCACTGGGGGGGCCGATCATACCTTTCCACTGGGGGGGCCGATCATACCTTTCCACTGGGGGGGCCGATCATACCTTTCCACTGGGGGGGCGATCATACCTTTCCACTGGGGGGGCCGATCATACCTTTCCACTGGGGGGGCCGATCATACCTTTCCACTGGGGGGCCGATCATACCTTTCCACTGGGGGGGCCGATCATACCTTTCCACTGGGGGGGCCGATCATACCTTTCACTGGGGGGCCGATCATACCTTTTCACTGGGGGGCCGATCATACCTTTTCACTGGGGGGGCCGATCATACCTTTCCACTGGGGGGGCCGATCATACCTTTCCACTGGGGGGGCCGATCATACCTTTCCACTGGGGGGCCGATCATACCTTTCCACTGGGGGGGCCGATCATACCTTTCCACTGGGGGGGCCCGATCATACCTTTCACTGGGGGGGCCGATCATACCTTTCCACTGGGGGGGCCGATCATACCTTTCACTGGGGGGGCCGATCATACCTTTCCACTGGGGGGGCCGATCATACCTTTTCACTGGGGGGGCCGATCATACCTTTTCACTGGGGGGGCCGATCATACCTTTCCACTGGGGGGCCGATCATACCTTTCCACTGGGGGGGCCGATCATACCTTTCCACTGGGGGGGCCGATCATACCTTTTCACTGGGGGGGCCGATCATACCTTTTCACTGGGGGGCCGATCATACATTGCACATTGGGGTCCCTCTCTCTGTGGTTCAGAACCGGCCAGACTCCTCACAAGCCAACATCTGCTGGACAGTTCAAACAACATCTATGTCCTGCCTCTTTTGCACCTTCTGATCATGTCGTTGAACACTCCTGAGCTACTGTCAGAATGTACAATAAGGACCTCTTGAGTCACTTTGCTTTAGTGCAATAATAACTTTAATAATGTCAGAATGTGCGATATAGAGCCACATACTGTCACTGAGATACTGAGTCCCAGACCTTGTACAGATGTAAACACACAGCTGTATAGTATTGCACTACATTTACAGCACACAGCACAAGATAAGGAAAAAGTCTGAAAATGTTTATGCTAAAGACAGACATTTTATACTTGCTGCTTATTTTTAAGTCAGAGATATATCTTAATTTAGTATAGAGTTATCTCAGACCAGAGTCACAAAGCAGTTTATAATTGTTGGCATTAGTCTCCCCCTCCACACAGAGATGGGAGCGAGACTGGGCCGGTGTGAGTGGGATGAATAAAGAATCTCTAATCTCTGAGAATTTTAGACTGATTTTTTAGAAAACTGAGAATTCCTGCGGTGCCACATCCATCATTCTGTGTATGATCTGCAGAGAAAGCCGGGGTCATGTGTTGCTGCTCTGAGTTGGCTTCAGCAGAGAGTGTGACCTGGCAGTGATTATCCCATTAGCATCAGCTCAGAGCCAGAGGAAGCCGGGGTCAGAGGCAACGAGGAGAGCCACACCGGAGAGCAGGACAAAGAAACTACAACCAGAAAGAGATTTTACGTTCAAAAAATTGTAGCAAAAGATGGTTTTCGGTAACTCTTAAAAAACCTGTTATTATTACGCACATCTTTATCATAGAATAAGTTTAAATGAAAACTTTTTTATATATAGTTTTCTTGGATTTTTATGTATTTTCTCTCATCTCATCTAATCCTCAAAATAAAGAAATAATTAATAATAATTTTTACTGGGAATGAACGAATGAACGATAAACATGAACTTTGTGCAGGTTTTAGCAGCATTGCTAATCTACACCTGTAGTCCCTGAGGCTGAGCTCTCTTGCTTCCTGGATTCGATGCACACTCCACTGCCTTCTGAGTGGAGTTTGCATGTTCTCCCTGTGTCTGCGTAGGTGTCCTCCAAGTGCTCCGGTTTCCTCTTCACAACTAAAAACATGTACAATAGGTGAAAGTGTTCTGCCTTTGAGCTGCAGCGGAGGCCCTGCCAAGCCGTTCGCCGTTCGCCGCTCCAACCCTCCGCTTTGAACCGCCCCAAATAATAGACCTCTCCAAAACACTTCATTATAACATGCTAATTCACATTATGATTGATTAAAGCAAGCTGCTGCTCTCCTCTGGCCCACACTCGCCCTGAGCACCCACAGAGGGGTCATAACGAAGGGCTTATGCAAAAACTGCCCCTTCACACCCCGCCTTCTTTCTCTCGGGCTTTTTTCTTGCTCTTCTATCTCCACCAACTTCCATCCCTCACTCCCCTGTCCCGTGCATTCATGGAATCTTTTCACAAGCTCTCTATTGAAGCGGAGGGAAAGGGGCTTTAGAGGCAGCAGCTGTGGCGCCCCTTTCTCCCAGGCAGGTATAGAGTTGGCTGGGGGCGCTCTGCATGACTGAGCCCCTCTCTGTGGCACTGTGTGGACTTCGCCATTCAGCCCTGCCGTACTTTGTCAGAGGGAAAGACTGAGGAAAGGGATAAAAAGGCAGGTTCGGATTGGGTCTTTTTGTCTCTTTGTCTCACATGCCCCCCTCCTCAAAAACAAAATAAAAAAAAGAAAGCTTGGTCTAATGAGCGCTGGTTAAATGCAAAAGGTTTGATTAATGCGGGTTCATTCTGGTCCTTGATGCGGGTTCATTCTGGTCCTTGATGGAATGTCAGCCTGGTGCTCATTACTCGGTGGATTTGTGTTTTTAAGAGCGGTGTTGCACAAACTTTGAAATGACGAAGGTTCCTGTTCCTGAATTTAAATGACGAACTATTGTGTGGTTTTCAACTGGAGAAGAAAGACAAGTTTTCCCTTTCCCATCATGCAAGGATTGGTACACACACACAGACACACACAGGCACACACACACACATACACACTCACACACACATACACACAGACAGACACATATACATATACACACACACACACACTCACAGCCTCACACACACACACAGACATACACATATACATATACACACACACACACACTCACAGCCACACACACACACACAGACACACACACACGCGCATACATACACACACATGCGCACACACCAACACGCACACACACACACACATACACGTTTTTGTTACCTGGTGGGTCCCTTTGACAGGGCCGTTCAGAATGGGACCCATAGACATAATCTTTTTTTACCAAGACTTTAAGTAATACAAAACAGTCAATAGAAACCAAACAACTATTTTAAAGGAATTTTATTTTAGATTTTTTTTTCGAATTGCAGTGATTCTATTTTTGACATAGAATTTAATGCCACTCCATGTCCGATGTCTAAGGTCATCTGGTGAGGCATTAATGCAGGCCAGGCCAGGCCAGGCCAGGCAGTGAGACTTCCCAGGGACCTTTCCAGTCTGTATGAAAGGTGTCATGGTCTTCTCCACAGCCTTCACCTCAGATGCAGACCATGGCTTTCTCTAACGTTCTAGGGAGAGAAATAAAAATATATTAGCAATATACACTCCCAGGGTTAGGACCAAGCAGCCTGGCTGTAATCCCCCACCTGGTACACTTACCAGAAGGGGCACTGCCACTACCATGGGGTGCATCTGGATGAATGGTTGAAGGTTCTCCGCTTGAAGTTTCTTTTAGCCCGTCCGTTTGTGAGAGGATCTCTACTGCTCTGGGCTACTGGGCGGCACGGTGGTTGAGTGGTTAGCACTCTCGCCTCTCAGCAAGAAGGTCCTGGGTTCGAATCCCGGTCGGACCAGGGCCTTTCTGAGTGGAGTTTGCATGTTCTCTCCGTGTCTGCGTAGGTTTCCTCCGGGTGCTCCGGTTTCCCCTACCACTAAAAATATGTCCAATAGTTCTGGCATGTGCCTCCTGTACTGGCCCCGCTCCCATCTCTGTGTGGAGTGAGAGACAAATGCCCAAAAAAATTGTAAACCGCTTTGAGACTCAGATCTGCAGTGAAAAGGCGGTATATAAATGAAAACTTACTTACTTACTCTCCCTGTCGCACAGAAAATAAAAATACAAGTGGCCTTTAGGGGAAAAAAATCATACATATTTTAATAATATCAAGAATTACCTTCAGGCTCAATTTGTATCTGGTCGAGGCTCTTTCCTTCGAATTCCGTCACTCTTCCCTGCTCCATGGCCATCAACACTTTGCTGATTTTGGCCAGCTCCAGTGTCCCCTCTGGTAGTCTGTAATATTGCCTGTGGATGCGAATGTCATGGCCGAGGAAGTTGGCAAGTATGTCCATCTCATTCTCTTTCATATTGAGAACTGTAGACATAGTAGCTATGTGCTTTCTAAGTTTGGTTGAGGATAGCATCTCTGGATGCACCGCACCACATTCTTTGGCTACCTGGCGTAGGGAGTCTGATCCCCTGATGTGGGTGTCTGCGCCCGGGCGGGAAAAGAAGTATGGGTTATGG